TCACCCTTAGCCGCGCAACCACACACACTTTCCTCTGCAAAAATCCGAACACAGCCTTACCACAGAGGTAAACATTGTCCATTTGTGCGTCTCATATACTCCACACTGCATGTGTAGACTGATGTGGTATTTTGTTTATGTGCACAGGTTCTCGATCTGGAAGTTTAGCCATGACAAAGAAAACGCAAACCAGCTACAACCTTGCAGATCTGGTTCCTGCAAAAGGTAAAAATCTTGTACTCCGTAGGTTAATGACAAAAATAGCTTCATCACATATGCATATAATTATAATGGTGTGGTATGTGTGCACAACACTCAGATCTGTGACAGACCCGAGAAAGAACTCTCAAACTGAAAATCCACTGGACATAAAGCATGGCCCATCATGAAGGTTTTGATCTTTCGACTATGAAGGTATAAACTCATCCCTGTTCTTGGTTAAATGTCATGATTTATTTCGTCCATGGAACTTAGAAAAATGATAACAAAAACCATATGTATATGCGGGTTTGAACATGAATCGAACGAACAACATACTGATTAACATGATATGATGAAAGTGAACTTGAAGTGCGGGAGACTGATGAACAAATATCAACACTAATAAGACCTTAAGAAAATATGACTTTCACAAGCTTGTGTGTTTTAAGTGATACATAACCTGGATCATGAAAATCAAATTGTCATTAGTCTTCTTGTTGTGAACTGTTCAGGAAATGTGGTCACTGATAGATCCGTGGGAAATAAAGTGGACGGCGAGACCTCAGCTGCAATAGACAAAAACGGGACAAGCTTCTAAGAACCCAGATCGGTGAATCTGGGAGGTAAAATTTCATATCCTTGCAAGTGGAATTGTTGTAGATCTGGTAATAATAGCTGTACTCAGTTCTGTGGTGTATGGATCTGTGATTTAATTGTGCTTCCTCCATGCATCGCACAACTGAGCTGCAGAAAATTAACTGCTCTAAACTCTGTTTCTGTGTGCTGGATCTGCAACAATCTCCCCCAAACTTGTATCTGTGAATGACTTGTTAACTGCTTTAAATTTCCAGCATAGTGTAGATATGGTTGATGTGAACGTTAGACTTGCTGCTGGGTGCAGGATTCCAGCATAGGACGCGCTTTATTTTCCACGTTCGCAACCTGCAATTAACCAATATGTGTTAAAAATTTGAAAATAAAAATAAAAATAAAATGGGTAAATAAAATCAACTTGCAATCTTCCATTTTTTTGAATTTTTCGTTTTTTTTTTTTTTTTTTTTGAATTATTTTTATATGTATGTTTTTTTTATTTTTTTATTAAAGAGAATCAAACGAAAATTAAAATTAGGAAAGAGTTTAGGAGAATTGGGTTGCCTCCCAAATAAGCGCTTTATTTTAAGTCTGTAGCTAGACGTTGCGGAAGTCCGGTGGCTAGATCACTGGTGCCTTCAGAGTCAAAGATTCGTATGCAGTATCAAAGGGTGACTCCACGTATGGTTTCAGCCTGTGACCATTCACCTTGAATGTGTTGCCTTGAGCCTCATTAGATATTTCAACTGCCCCATGAGGAAAGATTTTAGTAACCAAATACGGCCCAGTCCAGCGAGATTTTAATTTCCCTGGAAACAACTTTAGCCTTGAACTGAATAGCAACACCTTTTGCCCTGGCTGAAATTCTTTCCGTAAAATTTGACTATCGTGAAACGCCTTAGTTCTTTCCTTGTAGATGCGAGAACTTTCATAAGCACCCAGACGAATTTTCTCCAACTCATTGAGCTGCAATTTACGTTGTTCCCCAGCTGAGTCATATGAAAAATTTAACTCTTTAATTGCCCAGAATGCCTTATGCTCAAGCTCCATAGGTAGATGACATGCTTTCCCATAAACGAGTCGAAATGGTGACATCCAAATAGGAGTTTTTAAAAGCTGTCCTGTAGGCCCACAATGCATCATTTAATTTTAAACTCCAATCTTTTCGTGTTGAACCAACTGTTTTCTCCAAAATGCGTTTTAATTCTCTGTTTGAAACTTCCACTTGACCAGATGTCTGTGGATGATAAGGTGTAGCCACACGATGATTAATCCCATATTTTGCCAATAAATTAGCAAATGATTTATTAATAAAGTGCTTTCCCCCATCACTAAGAATAACGCGTGGAATTCCAAAACGCGGAAATATAACCCCTTGGAGGAATCTCAGGACCACTGATCCCTGATTAGTTGGTGCTGCTATGGCCTCGACCCACTTAGAAACATACTCCACAGCGACTAAAATATATTGATTCCCATGGGAAGATGGAAATGGTCCCATGAAATCAATACCCCACACATCAAATAATTCAACAATCAAAATACTTTGCTGGGGCATCTCATTCCTTTTGGACTGGTTGCCGACCCTTTGACACCTATCACAAGCCTTGCACCAATTATATGCATCTTTAAAAAGTGTAGGCCAAAATAACCCACTTTGCAAAATTTTTTCTGCCGTTCTTTTCTGCCCAAAATGTCCTCCACAAGCAAAATGATGAGCAAAACCTTAATACACTTTCTTGTTCGGCTTCAGGAATACATCTGCGAATAATCTGGTCTGGGCAATACTTAAATAGGTATGGCTCATCCCAGAAATAATGCTTCACATCAGATAAAAACTTCTTTTTCTACTGAATAGTTAAATCTGGATGCACTACCCCTTTAACCAAATAATTAACCATATCAGCAAACCATGTTGTACAGAATTGGACTGCAAATAGCTGTTCATCTGGAAAACTATCCCTCAGTGGTAGGGAATCCTCTTCTGAAGCTGTTGGAATAATCAATCTGGACAAGTGGTCAGCCACCACATTTTCACTGCCCTTTTTATCTTTGATTTCTAAGTCAAACTCTTGCAATAAAAGAATCCAACGAATCAATCGAGGCTTAGCATCTTTTTTAGTCAACAAATATTTCAAAGCTGCATGATCTGTATAAACAATCACTCTAGCCCCAACTAAATACGAACGAAATTTTTCCAAAGCAAAAACAATTGCCAACAATTCCTTCTCTGTTGTCGCATAATTTAGTTGTGCATCATTGAGGGTTCGACTAGCATAATAAATAACTTGGGGAAGTCTATCTTTTCGCTGTCCAAGAACTGCCCCCACTGCACAGTCTGATGCGTCACACATCAGTTCAAAAGGTAGGCTCCAATCAGGAGCTGCAATAATGGGTGCTGTAGTGAGGAGAGTCTTTAACTTCTTGAAGGCCTCCAAACAAGCCTCATCAAAAATAAAAGGAGCATCTTTCGCCAACAAATTACACAAGGGTCGGCTAATCTTGGAGAAATCCTTGATGAACCGTCTATAAAACCCAGCATGGCCAAGAAAAGATCGAACACTCTTAACAGTTGTCGGGGGTGGCATCTTTTCAATTGCATCAATTTTAGCCCTATCAACTTCAATACCCCTGTTAGAAATCAAGTGGCCCAAGACAATACCCTGCCTAACCATGAAGTGACACTTTTCCCAGTTTAAAACCAGGTTGGTCTTAATGCATCTTTCCAGAACTAGAGATAAATTCTGCAAACATTGGTCAAAAGAATCCCCAAAAACAGAAAAGTCATCCATAAATACCTCAACTACATGCTCAACTAACCCGGTAAATATGCTCATCATGCAACGTTGAAATGTGGCAGGTGCATTGCACAAACCAAAAGGCATTCTTCTATATGCGAAAGTCCCAAAAGGACAAGTAAAGGTTGTCTTTTCTTGATCCTCAGGGGCAACTGGAATCTGGTTGTACCCTGAATAGCCATCCAAGAAACAGTAGAAAGCACGACCAGCCAACCTTTCCAACATTTGATCAATAAATGGTAATGGAAAATGATCTTTTCTAGTACCAGCGTTGATTTTTCTATAATCAACACACACACGCCACCCTGTAGTCAAACGAGTAGGCACGAGTTCATTATTATCATTTTTCACAACTGTAATACCAGAACGCTTTGGCACCACTTGAATTGGACTAATCCACTTACTATCTGAAATGGGATAGATCATCCCAGCATCCAAAAGCTTCATAATTTCATTACGAACAACTTCTTTCATAATTGGATTCAACCGACGTTGAGCGTCAATGGCAGGTTTTACTCCATCCTTCATCAAAATTTTGTGCATACAAATTGTAGGGCTGATCCCTTTAATGTCAGCTATAGTCCAGCCAATTGCATCTTGATGACTCCTTAAAATGCGCAACAATTTATCTTCCTCTGTTGATGATAAATCAGCAGCTATAATAACTGGCAGCGAAGAATCTGCACCCAAGTAAGCATATTTCAAGTGTTCTGGAAGCACCTTTAACTCCAGTTTAGGTGACTGTACCTTAGAAGGCTGCAAGAGCTTTTTGGGTTCCCCCAAACTCTCAAAAACGTGCCTCCAACGTGGAGGTTGAAAAGGAACGCTTTCCAAAGCATAAACATACTCAAAACCCTCTTCATCTTCTGTATTTTTATTCTCAAACCCATGCAACACATTTAACAATGGATCAGATGTCAAACGTGGCATAATTTCAGCATGTAATAAACTGTCAAGCACATCAACACGCATACAGTCATGCACATCACCTGGCCTTTTGGTAGCTTCAAATAAACCGAACACAAACAGATTGATCTTGCACTCTAAGTGTAAGTGTCCCAGCCTCTACATCAATTAACGTTCTAGCTGTAGCCATGAAGGGACGTCCCAAAATAATCGGTGTTTGCATATCTTCATCCATATCCAAAATCACAAAATCTGCAGGAAGGTAGAGATTATCCACTTTAATAATTAGGTCTTCTATAATACCCCTTGGATAAGCAACTGAACGGTCCGCAAGTTGTAGAATAACTGATGTAGGCTTGATTTCTCCTTGTCCTAGTCTCTGAAAAACAGAAAAAGGCATTAAGTTAATACTAGCGCCTAAATCAATTAAAGCACGTTTAAAATGAGAACTTCCAATTGTGCATGAAATTGTAAAACTCCCTGGATCTTGTTTCTTTGGGGGCAATTTGTGAAGCAGAACAGCGCTGCACTGTTCTGTAAGAATCACTTTCTCAAAATCCACAAGCTTCTTTTTCTTTGTGCAAACATCCTTCAAAAACTTGGCATAAGACGGAATGTTTTTGATAGCATCAATTAACGGTAGATTAATCTGAACCTTAGACAAAGTCTTCATAAAATCTGTCAATTGTTGATCTTTAACTTTAGGCTTCAACCGTTCGGGATAAGGCATAGGTGGTTCATAAACACGATCCTCAACAATAACCGCACCATCTTCGGAACTGTTCACTGTCTGTTCAGAATCCTTTGAATTGGCAGATTTTTCAACATTCCCCGAATCTGTTTTTGGCTGTGAAGTCACCCGCGAATTTTTTAAGCAATTTTCATCCCTGTTATCAAAACTTTTTCCGGAACGTAGAACTCTAACTGCCTTGCAATCTGCACCTCCCCTAGGATTTGGTTCGGTTTGACTGGGAAATGTACCTGGAGCCCTTCCAGAAACCTGCAACGCAATCTGCCCCATTTGTTTTTCCATGTTTTTCACTGATGCCTGCAGATTTTGAATTTCTTGAGTGGTAGTATTTGCCAATTTTTTCAATCGCAACCTCCCAGGCAGCCTTAGGTGCAGCAGGTTGCTGTACCTGCTGTTGAAATTGAGGTCTAGTGTGCTGTTCCTTATCCCACCTTAGATTAGGATGATCTCTCCAACCTGGGTTGTAGAAATTAGAATATGGGTCATATCGGGGACGCTGGAAATTGTTAAATGCATTAACCTGCTCTGCTGTAAATTCTGGTGAAACCTCTTTATGTGGGCAGCTCATAAAATCGTGAGTTATCATGTTGCAAATGCTGCAGGCAGCTTGTAAAGGCTGCTGTACAGCAACTTGAGAACCTGGCATTCTCTGTAATAACATGTCAAATTTCGCGTCAAGCCTTTTCTCCATTTTTTCAATTTGTGCTGTAACATAGGGAGAACCAGTAGACATCTCAAAAGCTGACCTAGATTGTGGCTGCTCCACTGCCCACTGCTGAGTATCTTCTGCCATTTTTTCAAATAACAAACAAGCCTCTTGTGCATTTTTGTCTTTGTACGTACCTCTGCAAGAAGCGTTGACAAGAGTTTTTGTAGTCATATTCAACCCTCTGAAAAATATATGCATTTGATCAGTTGTGCTAATACCCGAATGCGGACATTTTCTAATCAACTCTTTAAACCGCTCCCACGCCTCATGAAACTCTTCGTTTGGTTTTTGGGCAAAAGATAAAATCTGAGTTCTCATGTCAAGAGTCTTAGAAGCTGGATAATACTTGTTTAGAATTTTTCACTGAGTTGGGCCCAAGTTGTAATGCTTCCAGATGGGAGTGTGAGGAGCCATCTCCTTGCCTGATCCTTTAGAGTGTATGGAAATAACCGCAACTTAATAGATTCAGCCGAAAATCCCCTCACCAAAATGTTTTTGCACCCCATTAAAAATTCTGCAATGTGCATGTTAGGATCATCAGATGAAAACCCATGAAACGTAGGTAGAATATTCAACATGTGCTGTTTTATTTCAAATGCAGTCCCTTCTTCAACTGCCGGATATGTAATGCAACTGGGTATGTTTGTGGTATGGGCAGTCAGTGAATCACCCAGGGGTAGTCCTGCCTCTGGAATTACAAACGCCATTTTTTCTTTGTTGTGCAGGTCCCCAGTAGATACTGTTTCCAGAAATGTCTCCTGCAGTGGACGAACCCGCTGCAAATTTTTCTCCCTGCGTTTCCTCCTTAAATGCTGCTCAAATTCTGGATCAAATGGAATCAAATTCTGCACTGTTGAACGAGTGCTGACCATGCACAGTTTCGCACAGTTTCTGAAATCTGTACTGTTGTAATCTGTAAAAGTAAATGAAAACGAAAAGTAAATATTTTTTTTTTTTTTTATATGTATAAACAGCAATAACTAATTGAAAATCTGATTGGTAGGAATTTTTTTAAATAATCCCCGGCAGCGGCGCCATTTTCTTGATAGGGATTTTTACTACTCATGTGAATGCGATAAAAACCTTCTATTTTACTTGCAAGAATCACAAGGTTATTGTAGTATAAACGGATCTCGCAAGGTCATTCTCCACAGGGATTATTAAATAATTCGAAACAAATCAGATTTTAATTAATGATTGTAAAGTAGAAATTTGGATGATTGATTTTATAACCTACTTAAAGTAAAAACGAATTTAATGAATTAAAATAGATAATCTGCAATATTAAAGCTAGAGAGAAAAGAAAACAGTTTTTAGAAAAATCAAATTAAGAAAGCACTAGGGTTCCACCATCACCTAGCAATCCTATGAATTTTTACCCATTACTTATGATCTACACATGCCACTTTGAAGGTTAGATTTTCCTAATTCATATTCTACTTGGAACCTCCAATATAGAACGTATATCTAACATGCAACCCGTCCGGACGTTCGGATCAAATCTAAACATGAAAGACTCATTATGCTTTATGAAAATCCTTTGAAAAACCATGCAATCCTTAAGACGTGATATTCATCCTAAAAGAAATTACAATTATTAATCACAAGAAGCCAGCGTCAATTTCAGGGAACCTTCCGACCAAAATTGCATCAAATTACTTTTCTAAAGATCCTAATGGTGATCAGGCATTACGACAATTAGATAGTGTTTATCCCGGTGATTAACAATTCAAAGTCCGCATGCAATCAATCATAAGAAATTAAATAAAAATCACATATTCATGCTAAGGCTCAAGGCTTCGCCCTAGCAATAGAAATTAGTTCCGCATATTCATAACTGAAATCGTAGAAATATCTATTAAGAAAAGGATTGAAAACACCTTCAAGTAGAAAATCTTCAAAATCCTAGCACTTCTCTCTGTCTCCAATATTGCATAAAATAATGCGTCATCAAAAACTGTAGACGGCTAAGCAATATATTTGCTAAGCCACCACCCAAACCCTAGCCAACTAAAATTAATAAAAAACCCTAAATAAATAGTAAAATTCGTCTAAAATCTGAACAGCCACGTTTTGGCCCATAAGCTGCTCCAAAACTGGCCCAATATAGCTGGATTTGATGTTTGGAATATTCTGAACACTTTTCCAGAAGGCCACGAACCCATCCGAGGTCATCTTGGGCTCCAAAAACGTCATTTAAGCCCAAAAACGTCATTTTCCAGCACTGCGCACTGCTTCTTTATTTCATCGCCAGAAAATAACCGTTTGGTGGAAAAATCCCAAATTTTGATACGATCAAGCTAAGTGACTCACGAACGTCCTCCAACTGGAATTACTCCAAAATTCGTCCATTTGGTCCTGTTTTGCTCCAGAGGAAGTCGAAAGTCCTATATTGAAAATACAATTCAAAGTATCAAAATTCTTCTAAAATATTAACCAAAATATACTAAGATTAGGGTAAAATATATAATATAAAATCTACTCATCACCTATCACAACCATTGGTCCAAGTTAATATGATTTAGTAGAATATAATACTCTCACTATTTCGATGAAACAAGCGAGACTATATGGAACTACTAACGAATGCTTTGCATCCTCATATGGACTATATAGTCATATTAGGTCTTAGGATGATTATGAACTGTTTGATTTGATCCAACACGAGCCTTGTGTTGGACCTTGGGTTTAAGGTAGATAGTTGTTGATTTTAGTTACGCGTTTAATCTAATTAAACCGTTATTTCCTATTGGGCGTTGGACCCAACTATTCCAATTTGCATACAAATAAACAAACAGGAATACTTGAAATAAAGAGAAAGGCTTATGCCCTTTTACAACACATTAGATGGACTTATGTCCATTTACAACAAACTTGAACTAATCAAATTACATTCAAATCTTAAACTACTTAGCCCAAACATTCACAATGTAAATCGGCCAATCACATAGCTCAATTATCGAGGCCTTTAGTTCATAATCACCCTTTTCTTAATCAATCACATTAACTAAGAAAACAACTTTCGGATTCATAGAATTGATTTAAATGGAACTAATTGAAATGAAAATCCAATTCTCATTAAAGAGATAAAACCATTTTGTTCTCATTTTATTTGGGCCAAAAACAATGACCTCAACAATTAGGCCATTATTTAATAAACATAAACTTTTGGGGTCACTTTGTAAAAACACAAAAGTTCACAACTTCATGTAATTACAATTAGAACCCAAAATTTTTAACAATGTAAAAACATCATTAAAGGAGCAAAACAATTTGTCCTTTAGAGTTTTTGGGCCTTAACGTAAAAACGTAAACTTTTGGGCCAAAATACAAAAACACAAAAGTATCAAAACTTTATGTAATTGCATAAAAGGCCCAAAATCACCCCCACTTGGGGTTGGCCGGTTTTAGAGTGAAAAAGAGTGTGAAAGGGTTTTATGCAAGTGGTGCATGCAAGTGAAATAGGTGGGTGAGGATAAAGGTGAATGGGATGGGTTGTAAGAAAATGTTTTGTGAAACATTAATAGCATTTATCATCCTCACCAATAATCCATCACCCATCATAAATAAACCAAAACTTTATGAAAAACACCAAACACTTTGAATCAAAATTCCAAACCCTTTTTGTTCTTGGTAAGAAACTTAAGAACATTGAAGAACACACATGAAAACTCATAAGAGCTCCATGAATGTTTTCACTCATTAAAACTCAAATTTTCACAACACAAAAGATGGTTAATATCCTAGGGTACTTAGGGGTTCCAAAAGTCACTTTAAAACCATTTTAACAAGACAAACATGAACCCAAAAATCCACCCTTTGGATTTGGCCGAATTTCCCAACATACATGGCACCAAATTTTAGTTCCAATATTCATGCTTTAATGAACTACATCTACAACATTTGAGATGCTAAATTTTCAAGCAAAATTTATTCAAAAGCAAGAACAAAGCTTGTAACATTTACAACACTTAAATCATAAACCATGAAAAATCACAAAACCCAAAAGGATTCACCATAAACTAGGCCTAGGCTCTGATACCACTTGAAGGAAAAAAAATTTCCTAGCTAAGAACATGTGAGAATATTTGAACACATATTCAAACTATTAACACATTAAAGTAGGCATGCATTCAAAAACAATTCTAAAACCCATGACTTTCAAAGCCTAGTGAATGGTGAACCATAAGACTCTTTAACAACATTAAAGAGAATGTGAGATTTAGAGATTTATTACCCTTGAAGTTCATCCTTGTTTACACAAGGGATTCACCCAAGTGGAGGGCCTTCAAGTCACCTCCTAGTTCCTTGGATCTTCCTTGTGATTTCCTTCCCTTTTGTGCTCCTTTGCTCCTTGAGGATGTAAGGAAAGGATCTCCAAAAACACCAAAGGTTTGGTGTCTCTAAGTCTCCACACCAAGGATGAGGTGTGAAGATGAAATGGATGACTTAGAGAAGAAAAGATTGCTAGCTAAATCCTCTCTAAGTGGCCGGCCTCCTTGTAGAGAAAAGAGAGAAAAATGTTTCTCCTCTTTGCCTCAAAGAAAACCCTAAATGAAAATAAAGCTATAAAGTTGAATTTATACTTCATCACATGTGAGTGGCAAACTTGTAATTAATCCAAGTTTGCATCCACTTACCCTATGGCCGGCCATGTTAATGTTATTGGGCTAATTGCCCATTTTGCTTTAGTTGTCATACAACTTAAACATAATGGGCCTTGTGGACCAAAATGCTTTTGGGTCCCGAAGTCCAAAAACAACTTAAAAGCCCAATACAAACATTTCGTATAATTAATTAACTATGACCATTCTTCAATTAAACCATTTAATTGCATATCCATTTCATTTAATTTCTTCACTTTCATCCTTACTCGGTGTACAATCCATTAGGTTCCATTTAGCGAGGTAGTAGGCGATTGTTACTCTTAACGATCGATTGTGAATTGAAACCACATTTCAATTCTCCCTTAAAATTAGTGTTTGCTAATCATTAGGGCTTCCACAAACCATGAGTGACACCTAGCAGCATGTCATGGTTACCCAAGCTAAGTAGAATTGGTTGGAGAACCTATCCAGTTACAA